CAGGGGTTCCAAGCAGGGAACCAGGAGCAGTAACCCAGGGGGATCTGGCCGGGGTCTCTGACAATATTGCAAAGGCACCCGGAGTTCTGCAGGGTAGAAAGGCAGCTGATACATGTTTTAAATAAACATCGGAAAGATGCTGGAGCCTGCCATTGCCTGCCCTAGCTCTTCGCTGGGAACAAACAGGCAAGTTTTGAAAGTGCCCTATAGTTGCCTAAGTCAGTTGGATCTAATGTCGGGTTTTGTGACAGTCTCTGAAGGGGAAAAAAGAGCCTGCCCTCTTTAATTAAAAACAAACAAACTGTTGATCTGTAAGTAATTCTTGTTCTCTTCAGGCAGGTAGATATTCACAAGTCTGAGAGTAATTTTTTTAAAAGTTACGTTTTTATCAACCTGCTCACAGAGAAGTATACCAACACTTTTCATTGTCAGCCTTTTGATTTAAGCAAGTTCTAGTTGACAAGGGCTCATGAATTTAATAGAAGTGGGGAATTTTAGGAAAGGGAATGAAAATAAAATGTCCAATATTGGAATGTCCCTGTTTTGATCTTATGATGGGGCCTCATTTGGAATATGGCAACCAGAACTGTACACAGTATCTCAAAAAAGATATTGCAGAGCTGGAAAAAGTGCAAAAGAGGCAATCGGTATGATTAAAGGGCAGCAGCATCTTTTCTGTAAGGGAAGGATAAAGTGTTTGGAGATTTTGAGTTTGGAAAAAACATGATTAAGGGGCAGATGATGTTATAAAATTATGCACAGTGGAGAAAGTGGATAGAGAGCTTTTTCTCTTTCTCCAAAATACTAGAAACTTGGGCGCACCAATGAAGCTGATGACAATAAATTCAGGACAGACCAAAAGTCTTTACTCCATGACTACTTAAGTCATAGAATTCATTGTCATTGGATGTAGCGATGGCTACAAGCATAAAGGTAAAGGTTTCCCTTGCTCAAAAGCTAGTCGAATCTGACTCTAGGGGGCGGTGCTCATCTCCGTTTCCAAACCGAAGAGCCAGCGCTGTCTGAAGACGTTTCCGTGGTCATGTGGCTGCCATGACTAAACGCCGAGGTGCACGGAACATTGTTACCTTCCCACTGAAGTGGTACTTATTTATCTACTTGCAATTTCTTGCTTTTGAACTGCTAGGTTGGAAGGAGCTGGGGCCAAAGATGGGAGCTCACTCGGTCATGCGGCACTCGGGTCTCGAACTTCCGAACTACAGACCATCCGGTCTGCAGTTCAGCGTCTTAACCTCTGAGCCACCGTGGCCCCTGTCCACAAGCATAGATGGCTTTAAAAAGGGGATTAGACAGATTCATGATGGAGAGGTACATCATTGGTTGCTAGCCATAGTAAAGGGAATCTTCATGTTCAGAGGCAGTGACCTTCAAACTCAGTGTTAAAATGCAACATCAGGGGAAGGCCTCTGCCACCACCATTGTTATATTTTTGTCAGGCCACTTCCTGACATTTGCAGCTCTTCATATTGAATTTAAAATACTGCACAATATGTACCCCACAATTAATGTGAAATACAACACCAGGAAATCAGCAGGCCATGGAACCTTTAACAGTTTCACTTGCTAATACTTAACAGAATCCGTAACCTTGAGCAATATTCCTAGCTCATAAAGGGGAAAGGCACTTAATCCAGTTGTGGTGTTGCAGCAGCAGGTTTCTCTGTGTGTGATGTTTATCCCAGTAAAAAGCTTCAGTCTAGCAGCCTGCAGGACATCATTGTCTTTGCTGGTAGATTGCATCATCTTTTCAAGGTGAGGGTGCCAGTAAACTAGCCTTCGATTTCTCAGCCAGATGAGGGCTGATGACCAAGACTTTTTACTCAGTAAGTGTACAGAGAGTGGTCCTATTTGCACATGCTGTTTCTCATTCTGTGGTGTATTTTTGTGTGTGACGGGGTTGTGAGTATCCACTGGTTGGATGAGACTGTTGTGATGAAAGCAGATATGGTTGACGCCCTTCGCAACTCCTTTCTCATCCTGGATCCCTCCTGGCTCTTCATGCCTGATTTCTGTCTAGTAGCCATCCATCTCTACTCTTTCCTTTAATTTTTTTTAACTGTTCAACTTGCCATCGAGCAACAGCAGCTAAGTTAGCATGTGTGTAGCATTGTGCCTGTGAAACCTACCCCAAATGTATGACTTTTGTTTGATTTCAACGAACTAAATTAGATTCATAGTGCAATAAAAAGCTTTCTTATCCAGCACGAGATTATTTAGAACTCTCAGCCATCTTAGATTCAGGTGGGTAGTCATGTTGGTCAGAAGCAGCAGAACAAAGTTTGAGTCCAGTGGCACCTTTAAGACCAACAAAGTGTTATTCTGAGTATAAGCTTTTATGTAAGCTGGGTATATGCTTATACCCAGAATCAAACTTTGTTGGTCTTAAAGGTGTCACAGGACACAAACTTTCTCAGCTAACTTGTCAATCACCCAGAGGGCAAGCTCTTCCCCATCAGCTGCCATTACCAAACACCCCCAGCCCCCCCCCCCCCCCAATGTGCATGCACCACACTCACTCCTCTCCAGCTGGACATTTTGATACTCTGGCCATTGCTGGGGTTCTGAGAGCCCATGCTACCAGCTGAGATAATCTTCAGGTGATTCCATCCTTCTCAACCTGCCTTGAGCTGCTGGGAGCCACCTTTGCTGGATGTGTACTAGGATAGAGATGTGAAGGCCCGGAAAAAAACTGGAAAATTTTGGAAAAAACCTGTTTCCCCCCCGTTTTTTTCCTGAAGCCTTTTTTTAAAAAATTGGAAAAATGGGAAAAAAAGAAAAAAAATTGATTATGGAACATGATGAATAAAATATTTTAAGACAAGGTGTTCAAATATTTTCCAAATATTTTCTCTCATATATATGGTATATATATGGTATCAGATTGATCTAATTTCTGTGCACTGAGGACAAACAAGTTCTAGGTTACAAACTGAACTCTCCAATGCAAGAACAAGATGCATTTCTTCTTTTAGGAGGTGCTATTGACAGAAGAAAATAAAAAGGTTTCAGTTTTGTTTTTGCATGTGGATGGGTATTCTGTTTGAAATAATTGTTTGGATACACTATATTTTTAATATGCTAGTTGTGATAATTTCATGCCAAGTAAAAATGTCCATAGTCATATTTTATGTTCCTAATGTAACAGAATGACTTTCAATCTAGAAAAGACAAAAGAAGTGCTAATGTAGCATTTTTTTCAATTTTTCTGAAAATTTCCGTTTTTTTCTGAAAAAAACTGGAAAAAACCCGGGTTTTTTTCCAAGCTTCAAAATTTCCGGAAATTTTACATCTCTAACTAGGCACCTGGACTGCTTGTCTGCCTGCTGTTGTAGGACGGCTTTGTGGCTTGGGAGAGGCTGCCGGGCGTGAGGGCTCTTGCCATGGCACTCCCAATGGGATGGGGTTTGGTTGTGGCACAAGGACATAGGAGAAGCCAGTGTTGGATCAGGCCAAAGGCCCATCCAGTCCAACACTCTGTCACACAGTGGCCAAAAATACCAGGTGCCATCAGGAGGTCCACCAGTGGGGCCAGGCAAATTCCTCTGGGTGGCGAGGAGGGCACAACAAAGCAATACATACAAATATCTGTCAGTTTTGATTAACTTGCAGGCCTTATTTCCTGTGAGTACCAGATAATAAAGTTTTTACTGTACTTACTTCTAAGGCACAGAATGTCGTAGCTGAAAATATTTTGATTTGCCGTAGGTTTAGTATTGTTGGGCATCTTGAAGTAACTTATGTTCAAAAGTTAATTTACACCACAGAAGTCAATATTCTCTGCAGGGTGTTAACTGGTACCCAGTGCTATTGAGGGCTTAGGGAGTGGATCTGACCCCTCCCCCTGGTGTTGTTTAACAGTATTGAAAGAAGAAATCTAAAGTGTTAAATGGGTTCTTACTGAATAAACTAACTTCCTGTCTTTCAGGGAAATAAGAAATACTTTAAACGCAGCGAACTAGCCAAGAAGGAAGAAGAGGCATATTTTGAAAGATGTGGCTATAAGGTAATACGGCAATACTCATTTTGGCATGTATGTTAGGTTTGCTTGATCTGTTTGACCATAGATGATAAAGATCTTGCTAATAACTCTTTGTCCAATCTGTCACTGTTGCACTTTAGCCTGTAAAGAAGCCACCGGGAGAGGTATGATTTTGCAACCCACTTTGCAATGCAGAAAGAGGCATGCATGGATCTGCGGGTTTCTTGGATTTGTGTTTGTAGTTTGGCTTCTTCTCTGGAGGGCATGAGGCTGCTTAAGAATAAAGCTCTTCTTGCTTTTTTAAAAGTGTTGTGCTCCACCAGGCATGTTCAGTGGATCTGACATAACAAAAACCACCTTACTGAATCGTAGCAGAAGCTGCCAAACTTTGGCCTGCTGGCCTGCTTTTTTGAAACTGGTGCTGCTTAAAAGGCTGGCAAACTCGCACAGTGATTGTTCATACCTGCCTTTCTTAATCTAGTTCTTCAAAGACAGTGAAACATAGCTTGTATTTCCCCCCAGTTAGGTAAATGTAATGAATGGGTCCTTTGGAAGGCAGCTTCCCCTCCCCTTCAGAAAAAAACAGTTTCATTGTGAGCAGGATAACAGTTTAAGTTAGGAGGAAAAATGTAAATTCAGTCACTTATGTTAGATGGGAGGCTTGCAGCAAATCCAAATTTTTTGGTAGCATGCTGATTTGGACAGCTAGATTCAAGTCTATCAGCACATTAGAAACTGACAAGATTTCTGGGGGTAGAAGCTTTCAGAGTTAAAGCTCCCTTGGTCAATTTGGATAGTGCACCCAAAATACGAAACTGACAAAAATCTTCTTGATGTTTTGTGACCCACCCACCTTCATCAAGAGATATGCCAAGACCTTTTGGTATCTGGAACAAATATTCAAATTGGTAAAGGAAACGGCAGTGAGATTATAGGAATAAACTAAACATTTTATAATTTGCTGGCTTTAAATAGAACTCAAAATATGTTTCTAAAGTGAGCCAGCCTCATCCTGCTTCATGATGGAGCTGGCCATGCTTGCTTATATCTACCTGGCGTTTGTGAAGGTGGCTCTGTGTCTCCATCAGGTGTACTAAATTCAGCTCAGCATTGATGCAGTGGTCCGTGTTGAGGTTGGGGTCAAGTTGCCCAAAGTTCCTTTTGGTATTCAGTCCCTCTGAGACATTTCCTACGTTTAAAAGCCTCAGTCTCTTTGGAGAAGCATAAAAATAACAGAGGAGACACCAGTGGAGAGCTGAAATGGAAAAAAAAATCTATTTTTTGTAGAAGATTGTATTTTCTTGGAAGATTTACGTTAATGCAGAGGTGTCGAGCTCATTTGTTACGAGGGCCGCATCTGACATAAAATGTGACTGACTTGGCCGGGCCATGTATGTGCCATAAAACGTAATGCCAGGTACCAGAGATATAAACTTTATAAAGGACAGCAGCTGGGAAGCTCTGAGTTGTTGAGTCGTCACCACAAGACCCCATGGGCTGGGGGGTGGGGTACAGAGGAAAATCTGCAAGGGCAGACTGGAGACCCAGTGGTGTGTAGCTGGGCAGATGATCCCGTGCTGCCTGGAGGGAGGCAACCCCCTTCCCCAGCCCACTCCCGCCACTAATGCTGTGAGCCCAGGCCCCAAGGTAAAACCATGAAGTGGCTGGGTGTTGCAAGCTCCCCCCTGCCCCCGAACCACCATGGAAGGGGACTGGGAAGACAAGTTGAACTAACCCCCTGCCTGCAGAAGCGGGGGGGGGGGCAGACCAGGTCCTAGGCCATGTTCATGGTGGGACCCGGCCCAAGCAAAGCCTGGTAAGTTAGAGACACCTGTGCGGCGGCAGCCACATCTGAACATGATGAGGTGATGCTGGGAGGTCACGCCAGAGATTGTTGGCAAGCCACACTGCCCCCATGCGGCAGCAACTGCCCCAGGCTGAAGGCCGCCAGATTGTCTGATGGGGGAGCAGGCACCACGTGCAGAAGGCTGCGTGTGTGACAGAAGCCCCCAGGCACTGTCCCCCCCCAGGAAGGCTGATGAAGGCCACTGGGTGGTCTGTGGAGATGGGAGGCCCAACCACTGAGTTGCATGCCAAAGAAGGCCCCCTAATGAGCCAAAGCATAGCTGCTGCATGAGGGGCCTCAAATTAAGTGATGGCACTGGCTGCCAGCAGGTCCCAGCAGAGGGTCATCTGTACACCCCCCCCCCCACATGCAAACACTGATCTCTGTGGCCGTCCAGGACAGCATCCCCAGAGCTGCAGGCTGAGCGGAGAGGCGTGCGACCTCACTTTGGAACCCTGAGCTGGCATGAATACAGCTGCAGTGGCTCCCAATTTACCAGTGAAGCTTCCACTGAAGCAAAGGGGTCTTCTTGACTGCTGCAGACGAGGTTGTTCAGCCTCGCTGAAGCCACAATCGGAGTGGCTTTGCCCACTCGCTTCCCCCAAGCAGCCTCCTGTTCCCTCCCTCACACCAGTGGTTCATGGGCCAGATAAGAGCCCTGGATGGGCCAGTTCTGGCCCTCAGGCCTTATGCTTGACACCCCTGGGCTAAAGGATTACTGCTTCTATACAAACAAGGCTTATTGCCAAATCGGGGGGGGGGGCAAGGACTCCATGGGACAGTGTGGGTGGAGCTACAGCTTTACTGATACGGTGTGGCATGGTTAAAAAGTTCCTTATTTCTTTCAAGAGGAATGAATGGACAAAGAGCACTGAGGATTAAATCGGATAGATGCCCGAATATATTAAAATGCAAAAGGATTCCTTGGGCAGAGCAGCTAGCTTTTGTGGCAGTAATATGCAGTAGGAGGGCAACTTTTGTTTAGCTTATGTGGCTATAATATCTAGTAGCAGTTTAATCCTTAGTGTTCTCCTTGGAGAGAAGTCAGAATCAAGAGATAGGAGTGTGGATGGAACGGATTTCCCAAAGGATCTTCCCATATACATACAACTAAGAAACATTGTGCCTGCTTAAATGCTGTTAACAGAGCATTCCAGATTTCTGCACTTAAACTGTCTTAACGTATCTAAGAGACAGAAGACTATCTTAGGCAATGCAGGTGCTTTTGCTTTGCTTAGACTGCTTGAGTTGCTTATAAAGAGGAAGCACTGAGCAAGCAGAACAATATTTTTTGCTCACTGCTTGTAACTGAGTCCAGCTTATGCAATGGCTTAATTCTTTTTCCATCTGGGTGATCTCACCAGTTTTTCTTTCAGAGATAAATACGTCTAATGATTTATAAGTATGTGGTTTTAAATATTGTTTTGGGTAATGAATGTGAGAAGTCTATACTGTATAAATAATTATTTTCTGGGAGATTTTTGTTTGCTGCTGGAATCGTCCTGGACATGCACAGCACATTTCCCCAGAGGATTTGCCTGCACATAGAGTTTTGTATAGGTGGCTGAAATTCTGGGGTCATTGCCCATCTTTATTGTGGAGAATAGCTGTTGTCCTGCCAATTGGAAATATAGGTCTATTTTCAATAATTGGACTCAACAAGTGCATTTCACAAAGAAGGCCTACAGCAACATAGGATAATAGACAATGGATATTCTCATTCTAGTTGACTAATATACACGTGTGTGTGTGTGTGTGTTTGTATCTGTAAAACAGGTGGTTATTGTGTATGAGCCTGGATTTGGATCTCTGTTTGGTCATGAATTTAAAATATCTCTTAGGATTTTTATGGATTTAACTGACTGAGGTGTTGTAAAGCATTTGATTTTACATGATGTCCTGTAGTACTTCCTGGTTTTGACTTGACAGCAATAAGTTATGGCAATCTTGATTCTAGCGTAGTGTTTGCTTAGAGAATTTATGACTGATGAAACTCTTAAAATTGCTAAAGATAGATGAGAAGCAAAGGAGGAAAAGTGACAGAAATAGAATCAGAGGTCTAAATGCAGAATTTCAGTGATTTGCACATAGAGACAAATTGTAATAACCAGTGTAAAGAAATAAACAAGAACAACAGAAAAGGATGAACAAGAGATCTATTCTACAAGACCTAAGAAATGAAAGTGAAATTTCAAGCACAGGCATGCTAAAAGATGAACATGGAAATATATTAACTGAAAAGGACAAAATAAAGAAAAGATGGGAACAGTACACTGAAGAACTGTACAAAAGAGATGAAAGGAAGACAGTTTCCTTCAAAGAAAAAACTTTTGAAGAAAAACCTACAATTTTAGAAAGTGAATTGAAAGTTGCGCTGAGAACAGTTGGGAAAAACAAATCACGGGGAGTAGATGGGATATTGGTAGAGCTATTCCAAGCTACAGAATTGGAGTTCATCAAAATCTTAACAATAATATGCCAACAAATATGGGAAACAAAACAATGGCCCAAAGACTAGAAATGCTCGATTTACATTCCAGTTCCAAAAGAGGAGATGTCGAAGACTGCAGCAAGTGCAGAAAGGACTAAAGCAGAAAGTGCTAAAGCAGGATTACAGCTGAACATCAAGAAGACAAAAAGTAATGACTACTGGGGAATCATGCAACCAAAAGGCTGACAATGAAGAAACGGAAATTGTTCAAGTTTTTAGATTCCTTGGCTCCCTCATCAACTAACAGAGAGACTGCAACCAAGAAATCAGAAGGAGACTGAGACTGGGAAGGGCAACCACGAAGGAGCTAGAAAAGATTCTGAAGTATAGGATGTGTCGCTGGTGACAAAGATCAAGTTCATTCATGCCATAGTATTCCCCATCACTCTGTATGAGCTGGACAATGAAGAAAGTTGACAGGAAGGAAGTAGATTTCTTTGAAATGTGGTGTCGGAGGAGAGCTTTACAGATACCATGGACCACCAAAAGGATAAATAAGTGGGTTCTAGATCGAATTGAACTCTCCCTGGAACCTAAATGAACAAACTGAGGCTGTTGTACTTTGGTCACATGATGAGAAGTCAAGTCATTGGAAAAGACAATCATGCTAGGAACAGTTGAAGGCAGCAGGAAAAGGGGAAGACGGTCCAGGGCTCTTTTTGTAGCAGGTACTCATTTGCATATTAAGCGACACACCCCTAATGTAGCCAATCCTCCAAGAGCTTACAGTAGCTCCTGTAAGAAGAGCTCTGTAAGCTCTTGGAGGATTGGCTACATTAGGGGTGTGTGGCCTAATATTTATTTATTTATTTATACATTAGACTTTATATCCCACTCGAACCCCCTTTCAGGGGTCTCTGAGCGGCTTACAGGTCGGAGCTAGTCACCATTTATATTATTTCCCTGATTACAGCCACATTATAGGAGGGGGTGGGACAGCCCTACCAGCACCCAAGTGGCGGCGGCTCTTTTTCCAGCTTCTTTAGGCATTCAGTTGTTTCCTCTAGACCTTCTTCCCAGCGGGACGTCTTCTTTGTGGCGCTTTTTCCGGCGGGTAGCTGCATTCGGCGCGCGCATTCGTTCCTCCTGGCCCCGGCTTGTGTCCTTCCGGCTCCGCCGCGCCTGGAGATGACGTCGTCGCGCGCTTCTTTTTGCTACCAACGACGGCCGCTTCGTTGTTTCACTGCTGGCCACCAGGGATCACTCTACTGGTTTTTCTGTCGTCGCGCCTCGCCATGCCGTCTCTGCTGCCAGGACTCCGCCGTCGTCGCTGTTTCGCCGCCATCGCTGCCTTGATCTTCCGCCGCACACCACAACCTCATGAGAGGAGGGTGCCCCCTACCCTTCTAAGGGTAGGTTCCCATTCATCTACTCGCCCTTTAACGGGCTTTCGAACCGCTGGGTGGGCGGGAGCTGGGATATCGGCCGGGAGCTCACTCCAGCCACGGTGGGGCTCAAACGTAGTTCGGCCAGATGTTAAGCAGGCTGCTTTTACTGCCTGCGCCACCGCATATGCAAAGGAGTACCTGCTACAAAAAGAGCCCAACATGAGATGGATTGACTCAATCAAGGAAGCCACAGCTCTCCGTTCGTGAGACCTGAACAAGGCTTTCAATGAAAGGATAGTTTGGCGTTCATTCATTCATAAGGTCAGAAGCGACTTTACAGGACTTAACTAACACCCACACCCACACCCTTAGATCCACCTTGTGAGAGTCTTCAACCCTCCTGATCAGTACTTCAATGGGCCTAGCAGGCTTTTTTTTGCGGGGGGGAAGAGAAGAAAGAATATTCTATGAGTTTTGCACTGTGTTTTGGATCTTACACCGTATTTAGAATTACTAAGTGTATTTGACACATCCCCCTTTTGTAGAAGCTTTTTACCTTTTATGTATCTGAAATTCTAGCTTTTCTGTACTTTGCTTTCTGCAGTACAGATATCTGAAATTTCTTTGGAAGACAGTGCAGTTTGTGAGGGTTCACCTTCAAGCCAAACCATTTCAGAGGCAATTCCTGGAAGTTTCGTTCAGTTCTGCAGATTTGTTGTGTTGCGTGTTCTCAGGGGATGCCCTAAAGAGCTGTCCATGTTCCTGTGTGTTAAAAAAAGCTTTAAAACTGTAGGATTTCCCTATTGCTTCCCAGGTGCAACAGAATGAAGAGGAGGAGGAAAAGCAAATGGTGTCTCCCAATCCAGTGTTGGAGTTAGAGCTGGCAGAGGAGAAGTTGCCTATGACTCTTTCTAGGCAAGAGGTAAGAACATCTCTCTGGAGTTACCATATATGGGGCCTTCTGTGGCTGACAAATGTCTATAGAAATCTAGGAAACGTGTACCCTAGCTAAATATTATCTACTTGGATAGCTTTTATCTCTGTATATATGTTTCCAACCACTTCCTTTGCCTTCCTTCCAACTGAACCATGAATTATCTGTGATGAATGATGATCCTGCCTTTGTTGGAGTTGAGAGAATAGGAGCTTTTCTCCCCTTCAGGAATGAATATGATGTTTGCAGGCACCACACTGGTTGCGGAATTTCCACTGAAGGAAATGAGATGTGTCCTTTCTTAAAGTGAATTGGTGGCACCATTTGAACCCAGAATAAATCATTCCTTATGTAGGGCAAGATAACTTACTGATGTGAGGTGAAGGATAGAACACTTATACTTTGACAGCATCTGACATGCATCCCCCCCCCCCCATGATGGCACATGGGAGCATGGGGGAAACAGTGATAAAACATTGTTCTCTAAATTCTACCTTTAAAAGGTAAGATATGTTTTTAACTGTGGCCAAGGCTAATTATAATTAGGTTGTGGCTTTTAAATCATGGCTAACAGAGATCATAAGAACATAAGAGACGCCAATGTTGGATCAGGCCAAAGGCCCATCCAGTCCAACACTCTGTATCACACAGTGGCCAGAAATACCAGTGCCATCAGGAGGTCCACCAGTGGGGCCAGGACATTAGAAGCCCTCCCACTGTTGACCCCCCCCCCCCAAGCACCAAGAAGACAGAGCATCACTTGCCCCAGAGCCCCTATCTATACCTTGTGGCTAATAGCCACTGATGGACCTCTGCTCCATATGCTTATCAAAAGATCCACTCATAGTCTTCACCCTGGAGCCTGTGTACCCTTCAGCTGTGATGAAAGTAGAAGGGGGTTTGCATTCTGAATAGGTAGGGATTAATGGTTCCATCTGCACCAGCCTCTAGTAAATCTAGAATAATATATCCACACCATCCAGTTTTCAGATATGATTGCCAAAGGGCAGTCTACTTATCTACAGTGTTTGACATCTCTAACTGCTGTTGTATATCCTCACCAAGGCCATCCAGTTCTTAAGCACAGAATGTGACTTGTTCAGTGTTGTTAAGGATGTAAGTTGCTTGTCCATTGATTTTTGTGTAAATGGCAGGTCTTTGTAATCATTGGGCACAGTTGGGTGTATCTACTGCAAATTCAGTAATCTTTCACAGGATAAGGTGTTGTTGAATTGCATTGCCCTGTGAGTTTTATAACCAGGGACTTCTGTTTTACTACTGGCTTACTACTTAGGGTTTTCATCTGTGGGCTTTGTTTTAGACTAAAGCAAAAGGATGGCCTTATCTGTCTTATTTTCCTATGGGTTTGCCTAAAGGAGATGTTCTGACTTTTTGCAGGTCATTAGGCGGTTGAGAGAAAGGGGTGAGCCCGTCAGGCTGTTTGGAGAAACGGATTATGATGCCTTCCAGCGGTTACGAAAGATTGAAATTCTGGCGCCAGAAGTGAACAAGGTCAGTCCAATGTAGATCATTGAAGGAACTATGACCATGTGCCAGAGGCAAAGTATGTTCATATTGCTTGGTAGTGATGTGTAAGCTTTGTGCCACTCAGGGGTCATTTGGGGGGGGGGACGCGGGGGGACGCCATCCCCCCGGGTGAGGTGCGGGAGGGCGGGGCCTGGAGCTCCCTGCTGGTGCCCGCTGGAGGTCGCCGCCGGCTGTGGGGAGGACACACTTCCGGTGATGTCAGGGGGTGTGGCATATGCTAATGAGTTATGCTAATGAGTCCCCCTAGCTCTTTTTCTACGAAATGACCCCTGGTGCCACTTAGCTTGCAAGGAAACCATTTGCAAGCTCCAGAAGGCACCTTCCCTTCTCCATTTCCAAGGGGAATGGATAGTGTCTCTCTCTCTCTGGTCCTCCCATCCATGCCACTGTACCTGGGCAGTGGGATTCAGCCTGTGCTCCCACCCCCGGCTTGCCTATCTACTCCTGTCCTTCAGTCGTCAGCGTTACTGACTAAACGGCATGTTCAGTGTAGACTTTTTTAGGGGACAGAAGCTGTGGTTCATGGTATGAGCCTATTGCTGCCTTAAGGCTCAGGCCCAGTTTGTACTTCCAGCAGCCTCTGTACGATGGTGCTGCAGGATGCAGCATCCACTCAAATCTCAGCCGTGGGGGCACACAAACGTGCAGGAGGCCCGTAGCTACCGTGGGGCATCTCGGGGCTGGGTTACTGCCCAGGCCTCCTGACTTCCCATCCAGCCAGTTTATCTTATCTCCTGTGTGTGCCATGGCTGGGCTGAGCTGTCTCCCTGCCCTGCCTGCTGGTGCCCTCACTTCTTGCCTCTCTATCTCTCACCGCTTGAAAAACAACAACAACTTTTACTCTCTCGTCACGCCTGACACAGCCTGGGTGTGTGTGCAGAGTGCCCCGCCGACTTACTTAAATGCCCCCCCCCCCCGAAGTAAAAAATCCTGGCTACGGCCCTGATGAGCCGTCTCCAGAGAGAAACCATCCCCTAATGCTTAAAATAGCAGCCACACACACTTGGAAAAAACCCTAGTGGATGACTTAGTCTGCCCTGTTATATGACGTATGTGCAGACAGCCTCATATCTTTTCAGCCCTTAAAGAACGGCAAGGCTGGCTGTTTTATACATTTCCCATGACCCTGTTAGAAGGCTTGGAATGTGAGGTGCTTTCCAGGTTAACATACTTAGAACTGTCGGTTCTGTTCTTGCCTTTAGGGCTTGAGAAATGACCTGAAGGCTGCTTTGGATAAGATTGACCAGCAGTATCTAAACGAGATTGTCGGTGGCCAGGAGCCGGGAGAAGACGATACTCAGAACGATCTCAAGGTCCATGAAGAGAACACCACCATTGAAGAACTGGAGGTAGTGTAGGACAAACAGTGTGGATTTTTTCCAAACCCTGTGCTCAGAACATATTAACACTCTCCTCAAAGGAAAACTGGGCTCTGCAGCATGTACAAATGAAGTAAATGGGAAAGACTTTGGTATGATTCCGTAAGGCTTTCTGTTTTGTACATTCTGGCTTTTCTGGCCATGCGGGGGGAGTATATGGCAATTCTGAGGCAGGGGAATGGTTGAAAATGCCAATAAATAGTAAGTATCTTTTATCTTCTTTTCCAGGCTTTGGGGAGATCTTTAGGGCAAGGTGATGATCATAAAGACATGGATATCATAACCAAATTCTTGAAGGTAAAAAGCAGAACCTGTCAGAATATTTAAGCTGAAACCAAAACAGGGCATAATTGGTTACAAAGTGTTGCAAACTTTCTGTGTATTTTGATGTTCATTTTAGTATGCTTGCTTTGGCTTAAGGGGAGCTGACCATTCAGAAATTGCTGGGAGAGACTGAAGCAAGAAGGCAAGACAAACTATTCCAAAGAAGTGTGCCTTCAGTAGCCCATATGTTCAGGAGGAATTTTCCTTAATTAGTGAAACTCTAGAGCTAGCTAGGATTCCTCTGCCTTTTGGTCACTTTGGATCGAACTAGATGTTTGGGAGAGAGGGCGAGAGAGAGACTCTTCCCACACCCACTGCCCCCGCCCCCCCCAGTTTCTTAGCTTGCAGCGTCACTCCCATTTTCCTGGTAAGCAAAAGGAAAGGTTGTGGAGGAAAAGTTGTCAGTGGGAAAAGAGTTAGACTGTCTACCATTTGCTTCCCAGAAATTCCCTCTCCTGGGATTGTGCACATTGTTTATTGGTGATAATGATGGAGGGAGTCTGTTTAGCTGCTGTGGGGCAGTGTGGCCTTAACATATTCATCTTCCTCAGTTCCTTCTTGGAGTCTGGGCAAAGGATCTAAATGCCAGAGAGGATTATGTGAAACGCGGGGTGCAGGGGAAGCTGAACAGTGCCACTCAGAAGCAGACGGAATCGTACCTGAGACCTCTGTTCAGAAAACTTCGGAAAAGGGTAACCGCTGCAGAATTTTTTTGAGTGTCTATTCTGGAGTGCATCATGCTTGCAAGTAATTCTGCCACATCTCTGCATCAAATATGAGTGGGCCATGCAGGATTGTAGAGGAGCTTGTCTGTTGCGTCTCTGAGTAATTTATGACTCTGACCTTGTCTCCTTCTGACTGGAATGGGTCAATGACCAGCATACTTTTCAGGTTGCCAACTGTCTGGAGAAAAACTGTCCTGAACTTTTAAGGGCAGTTTAAGAGGATTGCTCAAGTGGTTAAGACGCTGAACTGCAGGCTGTGGAAGGTTGATAGTTCAGCTGTTCGAGACCCGAGTGTGCCGCATGACGGAGTGAGCTCCCGTCTCTAGTTCCAGCTCCTGCCAACCTAGCAGTTCGAAAGCAAGAAATTGCAAGTAGATAAATAGGTACCACTTCAGTGGGAAGGTAACATTGTTCCATGCGCCTTGGTGTTTAGTCATGCTGGCCACATGACCGTGGAAACGTCTTCGGACAGCGCTGGCTCTTCGGCTTTGAAACGGAGATGAGCACCGCAACCCTAGAGTCGGATTTGACTGGCTTTTGAGCAAGGGAACCTTTACCTTTAAGAGGATGTTATTTATGAGGTGATTTACCTCCGAGCCATGAAAGGCATTGAGTGCCCGTTTCCAGACATTAAGTCACTATTAAAGGAAGAGAGTATTTTTCTCCAGGTCAGTTGGTAACCCTACACAGAAGTGGAAGGGCTCCTCTGAGGCTAGGTAATTCCTTACTCAAGTGTTCTCCGGTTTTAATTCAGCACAATAGCATTTCACAGATGTTAGAGGTACTGAGCTGGGCTATGTAAAACATTACTTTGCTCACCTGTTCCCTATTTGATCTCTGTTTTTTCCCTTCTGCTTAGAATATTCCTGCAGACATCAAAGAATCAATAACTGATATTATCAAGTTCATGCTACAAAGAGAGTATGTGAAGGTACTGTCCACAGTGTTCATGCCCTGTGTGTGTGTGACGTTTTACCAGCTTAACTCTTCAGAATGATCTCTTTACTGATGAGCAGGAAAGAATGCGTTCAAGCATGTTTAAGCTAGTATTTGGATGGGAGACCACCAAGGAATACCTGGGTCATGACACGGAGGCAGGCAGTGGCGACCCGCCTCTGAATGTCTCTTGCCTTGAAAATCTTACGGGGTCGCCATAAGTCAGCTGTGACTTGACAGCAAAAAAAAGAAGTATCCCTGAAACTCTCCTCCAACTCCACATTTCAAATGAATCGATGTTCTTCCTGTCAGCTTTCTTCATTGTCCAACTTTCACTCCCAGACAGAGTGATGGGGAATACTATGGCGTGAATGAACTTGATCTTTGTCACCAGTGACACATCCCTATACTTCAGAATCTTTTCTAGCTCCTTCATGGCTGCCCTTCCCAGTCTCAACCTCCTTCTGATTTCTTGCTTGCAGTCTCTCTGTTAGTTGATGAGGGAGCCAAGGAATCGAAAATCTTGAACAATTTCCGTTTCTTCATTGTCAGCCTTTTGGTTGCATGATTCCCCAGTAGTCATTACTTTTTGTCTTCTTGATGTTCAGTTGTAATCCTGCTGTAGCACTTTCTGCTTTAGTCAAGTCTCCATTACTTTCTGCCAGAAAAGTGGTGTTATCTGCATTAATTCAAATGGTTTAATGTTCCACCAGTTTTCACATAATTCCCCAGTAGTCATTACTTTTTGTCGTCTTGATGTTCAGCTGTAATCCTGCTTTAGCACTTTCTGCTTTAGTCAAGTCTCCATTACTTTCTGCCAGAAAAGTGGTGTTATCTGCATTAATTCAAATGGTTTAATGTTCCACCAGTTTTCACATAATTCCCCAGTAGTCATTATTTTTTGTCGTCTTGATGTTCAGCTGTAATCCTGCTTTAGCACTTTCTGCTTTAACCTTCATCAGTAGTTGTTTCAAGTCTCTACTACTTTCTACCAGAAAAGTGGGGTCATCTGCATTATCTCAAATGGTTCTTCTACCAATTTTCACTCCATGTTCATCTAAATCTAATCCATCTTTCCTTATAATATGTTCTGCATACAGATCGAAGAGATAGGGAGATACAATACATCGTTATCTTGATGCCTTTGCCAATTGGAAACCATTTTGTTTCTCCACATTCTGTCCTAACATTAGCTGATTGTCCGGAGTATAGGTTGCGCAGCAAAACAATGAGATGTAGCCCTGACGTGGATAGCCCAGGCAAGCCCCATCTCGCCAGATCTCGGAAGCCAAGCAGGGCTGATCCTGGCAAGTGCTGGGAAGGGCGACCTCCAAGGAATACCAGGGCTGGGACACAGAGGCAGGTAATATCAAAGCCATCTCTCTGAAATGTCCTAGCCCTACTTGGGGTCGCCAGAAGTCCCTGTGACTTCCACGCTTGCAAGCACACACACACACGCACAGACACACAACACAAAATACCTAAAAAACCCACACCCACAATCAGATGTAATGGCTAGGGACGGGCCAGGAACCAGGAAAAGGGACATTTGTGGTTTGTGGGGGTTCACGAACGATGAACTTCTATGAACCATTCTGTTTAACGAACTGGTTCATCGTTCGTGAGATTCATGGTGCAGTAGAATGACCCCCCTGTGGGGTAGAGATGCCAAACTCGCAGCAGGTCTCCAATAGAGTCTTCTGTACCTGCCCTTCAAGTTTGGTGAGGGTTGGATTTAGGGGGGCTGAGTTACAGCCCCCCAAAACAGGTGCCCCCAGGAAAGAGCTCTCTTAGGATTGTGTCATAGAATCATAGAATGTTAGAGTTGGAAGGGACCTTGCAGGTCATCTAGTCCAACCCCCTGCACTCTGCAGGAGTATACTGAAAGATAGCCCTACATACCTACAACCTACCCGAAAGATGGTCGTCCAGCCTCCGCTTGAAAACGTCCAGCGAAGGAGCATCCACCGCCTCCCAAGGCAGACTGTTCCACTGTTCAACCACTCTTACAGTTAGGAAGTTTCTCCTGTCGAATGGACCCCTTGCAAACTAGAGACATCAGACTCACAGAAGACCTCCCCAGGATGTCCCCCTACCTGCTCTTCAAGTTTGGTGAGGATTGGCTGTGTGTGATGCCCCCAGGAAAGTGATCTCTGGGGAAATCACAGCCACAGGTTCAGGACAGTGTCAAATGGACCCCCTGCAAGCTAGAGGCATCAAGCTCACAGAGGATCTCCCTGGGCTGCCCCCCTCCTGCCTTCCAAGGTAGGTGAGGATTGGCTGTGGGGGGCCAAGTAGCACCCCCCCCCCAGGAACATGCTCGCTGAGAGGACTGGCGGAGGGGTGGACTGGAGGTGGGAGCCGCCCCAAAGAGTTGGGATATGGAGGAGCTGGATGCTTCCCCACCACCCCCTAATTCACCACCCTCAGATTCCTCCTGCTCCAGAAAGAGTTTTAGCAACTTCTCCCCCCTACCACCCCGGTTGAGCACCCTTGGCCCCACACTCACTCTCATGGCACATAGGGGTGTTGACAATTTGGCGGGAGTGTGGGTCTCCAGCTGAGGAACCCACTGGCTGAGCCCCTCTGCCTGGCTGTAGCAGATGGACAGATCATAGGGTGAGCTCCCCCTCCCTGGCTGTCTTAAAGCAGCGGCTGGATGAACACTTGCTTTAGGCTGATCCTGCCTTGAGCAGGGGGTTGTACTAAATGGCCTACATGGTCCCTTCCAACTCTGTGATTGTGATCCACATTGTCAAAAGCTTTGCTGTAATCTCTGAAGCACAAGCCTGGTTTTATTCTGAAATTCTTATATATCCCAGTAACCACCATCAATTCGCAGTGTGATCTCTCCCGCCTCTTCCTTTTCTGAATCCAGCTTCAACATCTGGCATTTCTTATTCCATATATGGTAACAATCTTTGTTGTATGATTTCGAGCATCACTCTGCTCGTGTGAGAAATTAATATGATGGGCCGATAGTTGTTGCTGCAGTTTTAAGCGTTTCCCTTTTTTGGAATTGGAATGTAAACTGAGTGTTTCCCGTCTGTGGCCCATTGTTTTGTTTTCCTTATTTGTTGGCATATTCTTGTTAAGATTTTGATGGACTCCGTTTCTTCTGTGTCTTGAAAAAGCTCCATTGATGTCTATGCCTGATGATTTGTTTCTCCCAATTGCTTTGAGTGCAGCTTTCACTTCACTTTCTAAAATTGCAGGTCCTTCTTCAAAAGATTTTTTCTTGGAAGGAATCTGTCTTCCCTTCATCTCTTCTGTATAGTTCTTCAGTGTATTGTTCCCATCTTTTTTTTTTTTTTTTGGTCCTGTTCAGTTAATGTATTTCCATGTTGATCTTTCAGCATACCTAACAGTGCTTTAAGTTTCCCTCAGATTTCCTGGGTTTTATGGAATTGATCCCTTGTTCTTCCTTTATTGTTGTTCTCTTCTGCTTCATTACGCTGGTTATTATAATAGTTCTCTTTTTCTCTACATGCAAGTTTTTAGAACGCTGAATTTAGACTTCTGATTCTGTTTCTGTTACCTTTTACTTCTGCTTCTCGTCTGTCTTTAGTCAATTTTAAGGGCTTAATTTGTCATCCCTTGAGGCTTTTCATTTGTTTTGGCTACAGGAATAATCTTTGCGCATTTTTCCTTCATACTATCTTTGGGTTCAACCCACAGTTCTTCTAGTTCACAGTTCTTCGAACTTAGTAATGCAAATCTGTTCTTAACGTGGCCTTTAAACTCTTCAGGAATGTTGTTTCGATTGTATTTTGGGACTATGAATGTTTTGGTGTTTTTTTCAGCTTTTTAAATATTAACAGTCTTAGGTTTGTACCACAATCAGCTCCTGGTCTTGTTTCAAGTTGACAAATGGGCAGCATTCAGGTCTGGCGGTTGCTCCTGCAGTGAATGAACACTGACAGTCTGGTCAGAGTGGAGGAGTGGTGAGGCCAGCTGCTCCCCCCCCACACACACACCATGTGAATATATTGGTTCTGTTCTTTTTTAAAGAATCTAGATAAACTTCAACAAACAAAGTGTATAAGCATTTGCTTTTTTTCCAGGACCAGCTGTGCTTGAGCAGGTTAAAATGTTAATGAGCATTCAGGTCCTTAACATGGAAACTAGCAAGCCACGGCAGGATCCCTTGTGCTCTGGGCGTCAAAGCTGAAGATGAGAGCTCTTGGTTTTTGGTGTTTGCCTGCCTCTGCAGGCCGTGTGCCTTACTGACCAGTTTGTTTGTTTCTGCAGGCCAACGATGCTTACCTCCAGATGGCTATTGGCAATGCGCCCTGGCCCATAGGTGTCACTATGGTGGGCATCCATGCCCGAACTGGCCGAGAAAAGATCTTCTCAAAGCATGTGGCCCACGTGCTGAATGATGAAACTCAGAGGAAGTACATCCAGGTGAGATGAGGAATGATGAGGGTAGGCTCAAAGTTTAAGGACCCACGTTAATCTTGAGAGAGACCTTAAGACAGTGGTGGCGAACCTATGGCACGGGTGCCAGAGGTGGCACTCAGAGCCCTCTCTGTGGGCACGCGTGCCATCACCCCAGCCAGGCCCAGACAATCATTAAAGTGTTGAATTCTCTGCCAAATAATTTTAAGTAAATGAAAGCATTTGGGATTTCTTTCCTTACTTTGGATCATCATAAGTTAATGTATGAGTTGTTTTTTATAAAGTAAAGCCTCAGTATTCAGGTTAAATTGCCATGTTGGCTCTTTGTGATAAATAAGTGGGTTTTGGGTCGCAGTTTGGGCACTTTGTCTCTAAAAGGTTCGCCATCACTGCCTTAGGAGGTCAACATTTGTCAGTGCAGATAGCAGATGCTAAACGTGGAACAGCCCTGTACAGTTCACTTTGTTCATTTTAGATACTTGCATCCAGCTTTTCAACTAGATGTTTTCACAGAAGTTGCTTTGTGTCTTCATCCCAGGATTCTCTCCCTCATCTTGGTCGCTTCTTCTGTGTTATCAGCTGACCCTTTTTGTGTTCCTTCTCCAGGGCCTGAAGAGGCTGATGACCATTTGCCAGAAGCACTTCCCAACAGACCCATCCAAGTGTGTGGAGTACAATGCATTGTGATGGGTTATTGTCCCTGGCTGGGAGAGAAGACCGACAGAGCTGTGAGGCACCTCAGAGCGGGCTGAGGGTGCGAGGCAAGGGGAACAGTTTTGCCTGGGCTCAGTTCAACAGGCTGCACTTCAATGAACTTCCAGGCCACAATGGGCCTGTGTTGCAGGCTTGTATCAAGAGGCATTCCAGTATTTATGGAGCTGTTTTCTTTCACTGGACTTTCAGCAGGTCAAAAAGATCTGTTCTAGTCTGCTTTTTGGAGTTTGAACCACTTGGCTTTTAAAAGGCCGATGCTGCAGATTTTGAGGCACTGTACTGACTATTACTGTGTTGGAAGCTGCTTAAATTTGTTGCCCTTAATTAGAGGGTAAAGTACACATCTTTCTTGTACATTTCCCACACTGAGTTGGATCCCACTGATCCATTCTGATAGCAGAAGTGTTTTTCCTCTGGCAGAAGAAGCCTTTCGCTAATGCAAGACTCTGGGAATGGGTCTGTAGGATCCAGCCCACTGTGGTGGAATACGTCAGTTCTCTGAGGATCTTTGTCTTTTGAGTCTCTCTTACAGCAGTAAGAAGGAAAACCAAAGTACAATTTCAAGCACACCTTTACTTACCCCAGTCAAGTTTCCTGCTGTGAAGTTTGGTCCAGAAATGGGGTATCTTTCTGTCCCTGGGAATTTTATGGCGAAGGACCAACTCAGCAATTTGCATTTGATGTTTGGAATATATTAACCTATGAAAAGCTGTCCTATCCTGATGTCTCTGGGGAATATTTTTGAGATATTGAAATTTGATTGGATAGTCCATGTTGTGATTTTTGCTAGTTGTCTTTCCCACCTTTTTACTGAAACCACAAGTATAGCTGACAGTAGAAGATTTAAGTTTCCTTGTTCTCAAAGAATGGGAAACATGATACATTTGAGGCTGGATTGCTGCAAAGCGAAAAGCTAAATGTGTATCTGTACAACGAATGCATTGTAATATGAAGTTATGTAAAATTTCCCAGGCAGCTGAGTCCACTAAGGAGAAATTAATATCATTTAAAGATGTTTGTTTAAGGACTGGTATCAGTGGGCTTTCTTTAATAAAGGATTGACAATTCCAGTTGTTTCTGACTACAAGCTAGGGTAGGCAATGTCCTGTTCCTTTTCAAGGCACAGGCTTCTCTGTCAACACTAAGATTTCTTATCGTTGTGGCTGCAGAGATAAACATGAAATATGGTATCAAGTTAGCATACTCAAAGTGTGTGTGTAGTGGAGTTCTTAATGCTGATTTGCAGCTTATATTGTTAAGCATACACAGTTTAAAAGTGAGTCAAAAGATTCATGAAGTCTCAGCTACAATTAGAAAAACTGTGTTTATTGATACGTGCTTAAAGGCAGTGTCAACTTTGCTTTGCAGATAGAGTAGAATGACTGGACCCTTTCTCACTGTGCAAGTGCAGGGAAAGATGAGGGTGGGAAAACTTTTTGGATGTGTGAGAAAGTTGTGAGAGCCAGTTTGGTGTAGTGGTTAGGAGCATGGACTCTGATCTGGGAGAACTGGGTTTGATTCCCCACTCCTCCACATGCAGCTGCTGGCGTGACCTTGGGGTAGTCATAAATTCTTTCAGAGCTGTTCTTTCAAGGGCAGTTCTTGAAAGAGCTCTCTCAGCCCCACCTACCTCACAGGGTGTCTGTTTTGAGGAGGGGGAGGGAAAGGGATTGTAAGCCGCTCTCAGACTCCTTCGGGTAGTGAAGGGTGGGGTATAAATCCAATCTCTTCTCCTCTCTGCAGGCTCTGTGTGTGTGTGTGTGTGGGGGGGTCAAGTCTCACAGCTGACTTTATGGCGACCTGTAGGGTTTTCAAGGCAAGAGACGTTCAGAGGTGGTTTGCCATTGCCTACCTCTGTGTCACAACCGTGGTATTCTCTACAGGTTTCCCATCCAAATACTAGCCAGAGCTGACCCCACTTAACTTCTGAAGGGCTTGGGCTAGCCTGGGCTATCTAGGTCAGGTTTCTGCAAGCTAGAAGGACCCAATGGGAGATTGAATTTTTTCCCCCATGGTCAAGTGATAGTGCTAGAAATTAAAAGGGAATGTCACGCCTCTGTTTATTGGGGGGGAAACTTGTTTAGTTTGGGAATACTTTGGCATTTTATTTTTTATTTTATTAGATTTTAAAATAGTATTAAAATAACAATTTACACATGTCCTCACCTGGAAGCATGGTAGAGCAGTTTTATTAGCTCTAGATGCTTTGAGATCTCCTACTTACTGGTGTGGCCGTATCTTTTTCCTGTCCACCTGGATGCGTGCCAGACAAGAGTAGTCAACAGACAAAAGGAGATGAAAGGTATCACACTTCCTTTTTGTTCAGAAAGGAAACACCAGCTTTTGGAACCAAAAGGGCAATCTCCTAGGGCCAAAGGAGATGTGTGCATTTCTGCAGTTCCCAGGGTTGTTTGAAACAGTTCTCAGGTGTATAGCTTTAAGTCTCCTACCCCTACCCTCCTTTTCCCAACATGAAATGGCTATTTGTCCCCATTGGGGAAACATGTATATTGAACAAGGGAGCTGAGAACTATGGAAATATTCATGTCTGCAGGCCCTGCAAGTTGACACATTAACATACAAAATGCACATGTGGAGCTACTTGGACATTCTGGAGTCAGAAAGGCAATCAAAAAAGAACCTAAGACCTGTGGGATTTTTTTTACCACATAGTGTTTCCGAAAGTTCTTGTAACTTAGGCACATTTACCTCCTTTCCCACAGAAGCACCCAACAAGCAAACAGTGTGATTTAGATGACAACAAATTTAGTAAGAATCATATTATATTGTAAAACTTGGCAATATTACAAGTCAATCATTCTCAATGAGCATCTGGATATAAACTCATTTTGTCCCAATCTTCCTCAGGAGTAATCCTATAGTAATGAAGGTGTCAGCCTCTTGCTGCAGTTCAGTATTCTGTTTAAGATCAACCCAATGTTTAAGTTCTTTTTTATATTTTTCAAATAATCTGTTTATAAAGGAGCAAGCCAGTCTTGTCTTCTTTTACATAGGTGCAAAAGCCTCCTGTATTATGCTGGCTTAAGAGCTCTCCATATATTTTTATGGTAGTAGCAACCAGTCCTTTCTCTCCCCGACTAGAAGCCTTCAATTTTAAATTGGCTGGCAAAATGCTCTCCACTTTGAAATGGTTGCCAGAATGAGGCTGTAGTTTGGCCCTAGTTGCGAACTCTAATTGTGGAGGAACGCAGATGTGGTTGATTTCCAAGAATGCTAAGTTTTGCCCCAAAGGAAATAGGCATGGAGTGATTTCAGGAGGAGCTTTGATTTAAAAAGAGAGAGGGAGGTCCTCTTGGGGGCTTGGAATGCTATTTGTTGGTCTTTGAATGCTCCAACATGCAGGATGTCATGTTAGTGACAACATGTGTAGCCTTGATTGGGTGGGTTTCTTGCAGTAGCTGTTTTCGTTTGGAATTGTAATTCCCCAAGGATGTTCTAGAAGGCAAGGGGCAAAATTGTTATGTCAAATTGCCATTGCCTTCTCCTAGCTGGTGGTCCTTAATACAAGCTGCTTGTACAGTTCCTTATTCCACAAAGATGTTCTAGGAGGCAGGGCAAAGTTGTTACGTCAAAAATTGCTGTTGCCTTCTAGAGGCTTAATTTATGAATGATATCCTGGCTGTTGGTCCTTACCACAAGCCGCTTGCACAGAGTTCCTTATTCCACGTTGGATTAACTTTATCCCTAAGCTGTCTACGGACTGATACCTTACCGGAAACAGAAGCTGCCAAATACTTCCTTAGGGTATTTTTTTTATCAAAGAATATCTAGCAGTCCTGTGGGAGCAGACTGCAGTGCCTTCCTCCAGGTCACCATGGGAACACTGCTATGGCAACTGTCTTTCATGTCTGGCTTGAAGGTGGCCCTCTGCCACTGGAGCTGAACTGAGCAGCAGCCCCAGACTTGTGTTCAAAGAGCTGACTCAAAGGAGTCTTTGGAGGAAGAACTCCCTGGTGGTCTACACGAGGGGCACAAGAACTATCCACAGTTGATGAGGACAGTTTATAATGAGTGCTCTTGAATGCTGATAAACGTTGTATTTCAGTTGACTTTTTTCATTGTCGCATATACCTTTGGGGTATTTTTAATTGGGAAAAAAATGGTGGAGACTAAAAGCGCCTGCTTTGTTGCTTATGGGTTAGGAGAAAGAGAGAAAAGAGTGTGGACCATAGAGCACCCTTTATTTATTTATTTATTATTAAATTTATACCCCACCCTTCCCCGTAGGGCTCTTTATATGCGCAGAAGTGGTGTTTCCTTCATGTGTCTTATTTGGTCACTCCAAAAGCTTCTAATGTAAGGTTTCCCACCCTGAAACAAAGTGAGTAAGCAGTTGAAGTCAAACACATGTAAAACCATGAAAATGACCCCAGTTCAGTATCTTGGTAAACAGTGAATACTCTAGGGCCTCATCTGAGCTACAGGTTGCCTTCCCTTCTTCAAGGTACAGTACAAGCTTTTTCAGGTGCTTGATTATCCAGAATGATCAGTTAACTGGCATTGCCCAGAGAGCCAGTTTGGTGTAGTGGTTAAGTGTGCGGACTCTAATCTGGGAGAACCGGGTTTGATTCCCCACTCCTCCACTTGCACCTGCTGATGGGTCAGTCACAAGCTCTGGCACAGCTGTCCTTGGAAAAGAGCAGTTTCTGTCAAGAGTTCTCTCAGCCCCACCCACCTCATAGGGTGTCTGTTGTGGGGAGGGGAAGGGAAAGGAGTTTGTAGACCGCTCTGGTATAAACCCAATCTCTTCTTCTTCTTCTCCCCCTTAGCCACCACACCGCTGCAGCTTTGGCTTTGCATTTGCCCCACTCCTGCTTCTCCAGCCAACCAGATAGATGTCTCCCGCCATTGCCAGGCTTCTGAGAGCTGGTACTGCCAGCTGACATCACCCTTGGGTACCTCCCTCCCTCAAACTGCCTTGACTCCACCTCTGCTGGAGGACTTCCAGACATCTGGACTGTGTCTGCCTGTTGTGTAGGACAGCTCTGTGAACTGGGGAGGATGGGAAGGTGCCACCAACCGTGTAGTCTGTGCCCATGGCATTTCTAGTAGGGTGAATTTGTTTGCTGCAGACTCTACTGGCAGGGCAGTGGGTAAGGCAGAGCAATAAGCTTGAGTATCCCGCATATTTGATTAACTGGCAACCCCTGTTCCCCCTGAGTGCTGTATAACCAAGCTGCTACTGTATTATGGGCATGTGGAGTAGCTGGAGAAACTTCTTAGGCAAAACAAATTAACATGGTCCTCCTTATGAGAAGTTTACCTGGTGGTCAAGTGATACATGTCCTTTCCCTGCAAGTAACACCCCTACTCCCCGGTTTCTGTTTCTTCATTCTATATATTATTGGAACGGTGTCAAGCGAGACCATGCTCAAGCAGCTCCCATGCTGCAGAAGGAACATGTGAAAATGCAGCCACTGATCCGCGGCAGTGGAATCTTAAGTGGCAACACTTAAGCTGTAGGGGAAAGGAAGAACTCACTGGTGTCACAGAACGTTGTTTAGCTGACATTTTGGAGGCTAGAGTAGGTCTTACTATGTCATGAAATGTGTGGTGTAAGGCTGAGCCAGCAACTGTAGATAAGGTGAGTACCAGGGCTTGTACGAGAATATAAAGTTGCCTGGCAACTTCAGTAGGGACTCATAGCATAGTGTAAGAGGTATATCATGGAGAGCGTGAGATGGAAATGAGCATAAATCGTCAACTCAAGGCATCCATAGGATTTTGGACACTGCAAAAACAAAAACCCCAAACTCCTGCATCCATCCATTTCATCTTGAAAATGCTTTAATAAGGAAGTGTTGACAACATTGTTTTTGCAAAATGTAAAGGTAACTATACAAATTTTTAATACAAAAAGAATAAATTAAAAACAGATTTCGTTTAAAAAAAATTCTGCAACCTTTTCTACAACATAACTGCTTTTCTTCCCCTTGTTTACCGTTGCACAGAATTCTGTAATATCATTTTACATGCTCTATGTTAGAAGAGTTCTATTTTTTCCTCATTTTTAAACTAGAGTCCATTTTATAC